GGAATCGGAAGGAATATGGGCACAGATTTTGCGCAATAAATATTTGCAGTCAAAAACGCTCGCCCAAGTTGCCATGAGACCAACTAACTCGCCATTCTGGAAAGGGCTTATGAGACCGAAGGGTTTGTTCTTTTGTAGGGTCAAATTCTTGGTTGGCAATGGGATGTCAACAAGATTTTGGGAGGACACGTGGTTAGGAGAGACACCCCTGGCCGTCCAATATCCCACCCTTTATAACATTGTGCAACTCAAGGAGGACTATGTAGGCACAGTGTTCCAAACGATTCCCTTGAATATTCAATTCATACGTGCGTTAGTTGGAGAGTGATGGAATGCCTGGCTTCACTTAGTTCGGAGATTGATAGATGTTCAACTTTCCGACCAACCAGATTCGACGCAATGGACCCTAACTAAGAATGGGGTTTTCATGGTGAAGTCTTTCTATATGGAGTTGATTAATTCTGGCCCAATTCCAAGATCGTTGCATATTTGGAAGATTAAGGTTCCCTTGCATATTAAAATTTTTATATGGTTTGTCCACAAACAAGTAATACTCACCAAGGACAACCTAATCAGGAGGCAATGGGTAGGCAGTTCACGTTGTTGTTTTTGTGATCATGATAAAACAATACAACACTTACTCCTTGAATGCCTACTCGCCAAATTGCTTTGGAGAACCATTCATATAGCTTTCAACATTAATACTCCGGTTGACATTGGATCGTTGTTTGGAACGTGGTTAGATGGGGTTGAACATACTACTGCAGCTCGTATTCGGATTGGAATATGTGCGCTTTTGTTGGCTATATGGACCTGTAGAAATGATTTGATTTTTAACAGACAACACAATTTAACTTTCTTGCAGGTTATCTTCAGGGCTACCACATGGATCCGTAAGTGGTCCTTACCCACTCCTATGGACTCCAGGGAGCCTTTGGTTACTAGGTGCAACCAGTGGGAGATGGTAGCACGGGCTATATTCAACCGGTTCGGATGGCGGTCGCATAATAGGATAGGAGTCTAGGAAGCTTATCCTTTCTTTTGCCTTACTGGTTGTGTTTTGGAGAATATAATTTTATTTTCTTTGTTTTGCTCCACTTGCGAGCTGTAATACCTTTATGACATTGTGCTACTTTGAGACTTTTTAATAAGATGACTGCATGCATCATCATGATGCAGGGGCCAGGGGTACGCCTCCATTTCCAAAAAAAAGTTCCACCAAGAAAAGGCAAAATGTGATTGATTGCAAGTGGGTCTATAAAATTAAAAGAAAGGCAGATGGAAGCATAGATAGATAGAAGGCTAGGTTAGTTGCAAAAGGGTTCAAACAAAGATTTGGAATTGACTATGAGGATACTTCCAGTCCTGTTGTTAAGCAACTATTATCATACTTGTACTATCTATTGCCATTTTTAGAGGTTGGAGTCTACGACTGCTAGATGTTCAGAACGTGTTTCTTCATGGGTTCTTGAGGAAGAAGTGTTCATGCAGTAACCACCAGGGTATGAAAACAAAAACACATCACGTTATGTTCTCAAATTATATAAAGCTTTGTATGGATTAAAACAAGCCCCTGGAGCCTGGTACTCAAGGTTCAGCACAAAGTTACAACAGCTTGGTTTTACTCCATCAAAGGCAGACACCTCTCTGTTCTTCTATAACAAAGTCAACACAACAATATTTGTTCTTGTTTATGTTGATGATATAATTGTTGCTAGTTCCAGTCCAGATGCTACCTCTTGCTTGCTTCAGGACCTTCGTATGGGCATTGCATTCAAAGACTTGGGCAATCTTCACTATTTTCTTGGCATTGAAGTAAAACAGGTGAAAGATGGAATACATTTGACACAGGAGAAATATACTACAGATGTCATCAAAAGGATGGGACTGGAACACTATAAACCTGTAAGTACACCGCTCTCAACTTCAGAAAAATTCTCAGTTGAGGGAGGAGATGCACTTGGTCCAGAGGATGCAACAAATTACAGAAGCGTTGTTGGTGCTTTACAGTACTTGACCTTAACCCGTCCAGATATCTCATAGTCTGTTAATAAAGTGTGTAGTATTTGCATGCACCTAGTACAGTTCATTGGACAACGGTTAAACGAGTTGTGAGGTAAGTTAAGTTTACAATAGGACTTGGAATTGAGATTACTAAGTCACCATCCATGTTGGTGAGTGCATACTCTGATGTAGATTGGGCAGGGTGTGTTGATGATAGAAGGTCTACAGGTGGATATGTTGTATTTCCAGGATCTAATCTTGTATCATGGAGTACACGGAAACAGGCTACTGTCTCAAGATCCAGCACTGAAGCAGAATATAAAGCTCTAGCAAATGCAACAACCGAACTCATGTGGATCCACAGTCTTCTTTGTGAACTAGGAATAAAAATTCCACAAGCTACAAGACTATGGTGTGACAACATTGGTGCAACCTATCTTTCAGGAAATCTTGTTTTCCATGAATGGACAAAGCATATAGAAGTTGATTTCCATTTTGTCAGAGAAAGAGTGGCTCGCAAGCTACTTAATATCAGATTTATTCCTACTGGAGATCAACTTGTTGATGGCTTCACCAAACCACTTACCACGAGGAGGTTGAATGAATTTAAGTACAATCTAAACCTAGACAAGGCTCCATAGGTTTAGACTGAGGGAGGATGTCAGATAGTTAGATAGAGTTATTCGTTTATCTTTCTATCTATTCTTCTGTCCGGCTCCTTCTTTCTTTGTAATCTTCTTTCCTTCTGGTGTACTATCTCTGGAGGGTTTCTAGCGATCTTCCAAACCTTATAAGCCACGACAACTTATCAATATATAAAGCAGCCCGAGACTAAAGGCTTAAACGCTTCTCCAATCTTTAAAACTTCAACATGGGAGGCGACTAATGTATGCGTTGTGCCGGTGGCCGGTGGTCGGCCGTTGTGAGCCTGTGATCTGTGTGGGGCAGTCGTGGGCGGCTACTCCGCTGTTGAGTACTGGTTGTGTGTCTCAGCAATGTGCGTGCGATGTGAGCTAGTTTCAGTGGGTAGCTGTCTGCTGTACTGCTATGTGCGGGAGCCATTGTGGGTTGGGCTAGTATTAATTAATTTATTTGCTCCAGCACTGGGCGGGCCAAGGCCCAATCGGGCTTGTTTTAGCTCCGCCAGTGGCAATTTTGTCTTGAAAATATTTAAGCATGCTACCTGCTTGACCATATGCCATTTCTCATTGGCGCTTGGTACGCAAGTAGTTATTGTGATCACTGAGGGTATAACTAAGACTAAGTGATCCAGCAACTTGGCGACTAGCCAATTCATGTGCAGCTTTTGGCCCAATTCCTACATCATCCACCGTTTCAATTTCAAATGCTTGCAACTCTGGAGTTTTCCTTTGTGATACCATTAGATGTAAGGCTTCTGACAGGTGTAGTGTGTGATTGTGTTCCAAAACCAACTCGACACTTTCAGATTTTTCTTCTATCGATCCATTTTAAAATTCATGTAGACTTGAGAATCGGTTCTAGTTTCAGCTCGAGGGCATTTTATTAAATAATCCCTTTTTGTCTTGTGTTCGATGACCCTCATTTGCGCAAACAACTCTACAAGATGTGACCTTGTCATCGATTGTCCTTTTGTTTGTATACCTTTTTCTGACCTCAAATCCTTTTTGTCCATTGTAGGTAAGCCAAAATGCCCAAGCCTCATCTGAATTTTTGAATTCCATGCCAACATGAGGTACCAAACTAGGCAATATAACTCTGTAATGTAAAAGCAACATGAACATTGGACTTGTGGAGTGCATAGGAAATGTTGGGGCTAATAGTACTAGAAAACGATTTCTATAAGAGAACACGCAATGAGTAGCGACAATTGGGAGAAGAAAATTACTTATTGGAATGTATTAGCCTTTTCTTCTATGTCAGCTGCTTCTTCCATCAGAAAAAGGGATGTCTGGTTAGAGTTCAGTATGCCGCTTCTTACATCAGAAAAAGGATGCCTGATCACAATTTAGCGGGCTGCTTCTTCCATCAGAAAAGTGATATTTCACCAATTTCTAAAGTACTCAGATGGTGAAAGTTCAGTGTTTTATTCACATGTTAGATGTCAGAGAAAAGACTATGGAGACTTACTGAGATTGATGAGCAGAGCAGCCGTCCCCGTCGGGTGCCGAGGTACTCCTTCCGATCAACTAGCAGGTTGCTTCTTCCGATCAATTAGCAAGGAAAACTTAATCAATTTCTGTAGTAATCTGACGGTGAAAGTTCAATCAATTTCAGAGTTTCATTCATTTGTTAGATTTTAAAGAAAAGACTATGGAGACTTACTGAGATTGACGAAACGAGCAGAGTACCAGTCCCAGCCGGCCGCCGGATTGCCTTCCGCGCACCTTTTTTCCCTCGCTTCCCTCGCTAGCGTCGGACTGGGCTGCATGGGCCGTTATTTCTGAGCGAGAAGGATAGCGCAGGCTGTAGTCCATGACACTTGTGTCTGTGTGTACACGACGGGAGAGAAGAGCGCACCTCACAATGAGTTGTCAGATCGCCAACGAACGGTGCAGGACCTACTACGTCCCTCGGCAGTAGATTGGTCTAAGTCAGAGGATCTTGTTCCGCGGCGACGGGATCCCGACCAGGTAGCCCCTGGGCACGTGCGCGACGCGGGATGGAAATCAGACGGCCCACAGAGGAGTGTGCGCTCGGGGCTGCAAACATGTACAGCTGCGCTTTTTAGGATTTAGGAAAGAAAATCTACAAAAATCTTGGCGCAAAATAAAATGCTATAGCAGGCAGATTTTGAGTCCGAGTCGGATGCAAATCAGATTCATGGTCCGAGTAGGCGTCTCCCCCCCTCCGCTTACAAAAAGTAGCGCCCACCCCTTCCGACCTTCGTGTCAAGTTCGCCCCCGCTAGAAGGGAAACAGAGCAAATTCGCCGCATCAATCGCTCCTCGTAGTGCAAATCTAGGCCGCGGCCAAAAGCAAAAATCTGCCGAATTCCCCAAATCCTCTTGTCAATCCATGGATATCTCCCCAGTTTCCATCCGTCACTCCACCATAATCGGCCCACGTGCCGCCGACTCCACCTCCCTGCGCCCCGGCTATCCCGATTGGGTCTTACTCAACAAGACAGCGCGCATCTCCGACCACCGGAACGCGACCACCGCCTTGTGCCGCACGAGGGAGGGCCAAGCCGTCGCGGTGTCCTTCTGGCTCGTCGACCCGCCCGCCGTCTCCTACTTCTCCGTCCACTGCCCTGGTCTGGAAGACGACGATTTCTCCGACACCCCGCCCTTCCTTCTCTGCGCCGAGGGAGCCTTCGTCCTCTTCTGCGTCACCCTCGATGACTCCGTCCACCACTTCGTCTACTCCGCCCGAGGAATCCCCGGCGGGAGGCCGTCGCTGCACCGTCTCCCGGCCCCGAAACCCACGGTCGAAGCCTTCATGAGCCAGCAATTTGGCCTCTTGCCTTGCGGTAACGAGCACTATGTTGTTGCCTTTCTCCATCATCAGTGGGAATCTAGTGACCAGGCTTGGCATTATTATGCGTACATCTTCTCCTGCGAGACAAAGACATGGAAGAGAAGTAAGGAGGCCTTGCTCTGCTTATCCAAGTCTGATCAGTTATTGTTTGATAGACATGCCAGCTCCAAGCAGATCACTGTCGGGGAAAGCTCATTGGGATGGGTTGATCTCTTGCGTGGTATTCTTCTTCTTAGCAACCTGTTCGACGAGCGTCCTGTCATCACATACATACCGTTACCTAAAGTAAAAGCTTGCATCACCGATAGGAATGGTTATCCTTCCTACGCGCCGGAATTCTTCTGCGATATAACATGCTGCGATGATCTGATCAAGTTTGTCGACATAAAATTCGATGAACCTAATTGCAGGGCCAATGGTCAAGCATGGAAGGCCACCACATGGAACAGGAAGGTCTCTTGGGATGATTGGGGCAGGTGCTCCACAACTGATGTTGCTGAAATCTCGGTTGACCCAAGTTATTTGTCATTGTTGCCCGAGCTTTTGAATGATGAGACCAAACAGCTGGAAATTAAGAACCTGTATTTCCTTAACCCCACCCTGAGTGTGGACGACGACGATCTCCTTTACATGATGGGCAAGGTGAACGAGGAAGACGACACAGCTTGGGTAGTCGTTGTTGACATGAAACGTGCGGCTCTGGAGGCATTGGTCCCGGTTTCTACCCAACCGTCATACGCCGTTACGATGTACTGTCCGTGCACCTTCCCCAAGTACTACCTCAATATAACACCAGGTATGGTAACTATATTCTTTTTTTCATCGTGCCATGTGATTTAGCAGCAACATAGGACTGTATTTTTTGCACTCTTGTTTCAAACCGGAACTTTTGTACTCTTGATTCTCTGTCAGTTCTTGTGTGTGCTTGCTTAGGAGAATGTATGTATCAGTACTAACACTGTTGAAATTTACTCCATCAGTTTTTATTTACTCCACATATTAGCTTTGACCTAAGTCAAACTTTATAAGTTTACAAAGAAAGTGTTTCAAATATATATGCAATATATGTAATTTTCTCTTATTTCTTTATATCGCAAACAACATGATATAGGACCATGGAATTTTATTATATAACATAGATTTGTAGTAGAATGTTCATTAACAAAAATCAGAATTTTGGTGCAGTGAGAATAAACATACCATTTTGAATGTACATACACTCATGCTTAGGAAATGCTTCACTAGTTTGGTCTTTTCGAAATTAACAGGTTTGGGTGTCTGAGACGGGAGGCAAGTTGCATATCTTAGTTATGATGACCCATGTGTCATTTATATGTACATTACCTATTTACCTGTATCCATCTGTTTTGTCCATTATTATTTACTTAGTACTAGTTTTATACCTCTGGTTGAGGCCCTCTCCAATAAGAATTAAGAAGTGCTCCATTGCCAAGTGTATGTGCATTTATTTCCCATCTTTTATATGTGAATGTCCCTTTGTTAAATAATACCTTTTTGAACAGACATTGGCAGTCCAGTTGAGAAGGATAAATCCGATAAATGGCCGCAAGGGAGACCCAGCCCCAATAACTCTGGAGGAAGTGTGCAGATGAAGAGGAGGAGGAAGAAGAAGAAGCAGGTACAGGCTGCGGATTGCTGGTTGGAACAACCCTATTTGCTGTATTTTGTTGGCTGCGTATTGATTGCGATCTTTGTAAAAGTGTTCTTTCATCTGACTGGAATGTAATAGTCAGTATGTTCAGGGCCGTACTGATGAAGCTATGTATCTAGGGTAGGGGCACGGACCTGTCCTAAGAGCCCTACCCAAGGACATCCTTAGAAGAAGTCATCTTTCAATCGACTTGAAGGTACCCACTCGACGGGTTCAAGACACTCGACCAAGAAGCTACCACTCGACCACGAAGACAACCACTCGACCGCCAGGGGATCTAAAGTCACTCCGCGGGCAAACGGTCGGTCTTTAAGTAGTCTTTATGGTCATTATAGCACTTTATTAGGGGCGTTACCAGTAACACCCAACCTTAATGAACCTTAAACCCTGCATTACTGAGGACAGGAGAGGGCTGGCGAACTCTATATAAGCCACCCCCTCCTCAAGATGAAGGGTTCGCACCCCTGTTATTCACACACCTATAATCCAATCGACCGCCTCCGGGCACCGAGACGTAGGGCTGTTACTTCCTCCGCAAAGGGCCTGAACTCGTACATCCTGGTGTGTTTACAACTTCTCCATAGCTGAGATCTAGCCTCTCCATACACACCCCCTACATCACTGTCAGAGCTAGAACCACGACAGTTGGCGCCCACCGTGGGGCCGGAATCTTAGCACCTAGTTGGAGAAGTTGCGATTTTTCCGATCACCTTGATCATGGTTTCGTGCGGAGTTTTGGTGGAGGGCCGCGAGATCCGTCTCGGCGCGCTCACGTTCATCGCCGATGACTCTGCTTGGCTTCGGGAGGCTCCACTCGACATCGACGCGCTCGCCGTCCGCGGTGCGACGCACTTCCGCGCATGCGTTCGTGGCGTCCTCCTGCGGCAGCCGTCGACCCAGTATCGGTCGGCCCCCGTGTCGTCTCCCCGCCCTGTCTCCCACCAGCGCAAGCACTCCGGTCGGTCGAGACTTCAGAGGTGGGTGAGGCATGCCGTGGCTCGCCAGTCGGCCGCTCCACAAGTCGCGGCAATCGAGCCCGACGAATCTCTTTGCGGCCTGTTCGACCTGTCGACTGGCTTCGCGGAGACCGCATCCGAGTGCGACAGCAGCGACCCAGCGGCTGAGGTTCTGGCGGTCGATGGAACACACAGTCCTCCCGGTTTCCCTCGCGCTGATGGAGGCGCGGGTGGGGGCGACCCGTCTCATCCCCACGATGAGTATCTCCCCGAACCTCTCACGTCACTGCAGCGAGAGGAGCTTCGCCGCCGGAACATGGACGCACTCCACACACCTATCATCGGAGAAACCCCCGAGGCCCGGGCCTTGGAGGACGCGCGCTTGGCTAACTTGGCCGAATGCACTCGACTAGAAAATCTCCAGCGAATACTCGACGAGCAAGCGCGTCAGCGAGCTCCCGAGTCCAGTCGACGTCAGCTCTTCCCGCCGACGCAGGTATATCGAACCCCAGTTCAGAATTTGGCCGCCGCGGCCCGTATAGCAGAATCGATTCAGCCCTCCCAGTCGGAGGCTGGCAGGGGCTTGTTGCAGATCAGAGCGTTGCTCCGGGTGGCGGGAAACCAGAATTCCGCTGTTTCTCAGTCACGAAATAAGATCCACAGTCGATCCGTTGCAACGGATACAGTCCAGTCGGCTCACAGCCCGCGATCGCCCCCGGGGCGTGAGGGACGTGGAGACCGGCACGATCAGTACAGAAGAAATGAGCAGTATGATCACCATTCGATCGTGATGATCGACGTCGAGTGCCAACCCCTCCCCCGAGGAGTGGGTCGTATGCGCCTCGACAGCGAGATGACAGACGCCCTCATAGTGTTGGGCAGAGGATTCCAGTCGACCCCAGGGACCCAGGCTTTGATGCGAGATCCATCCTCGTTCAGGGTTTGGTTGACAGGAACAGAGCTCATCGAGAAGGCCACGACAGAGATGCGCCTGCTAGTACCAGAGTACATGCTTCAGGGCCAAAGTGTTTCAGTCGAGCCATCAGGGGCGCAGTGATTCCTCCCAACTTCAGGTTGGCGACGGGAGTCAGCAAGTTCACCGGTGAGTCTAAACCTGACACTTGGCTTGAAGATTATAGAGTGGCTGTAGAGATTGGCGGTGGCAATGATGAGGTGGCTATGAAGCATTTGTCTCTCATGTTAGAGGGCTCAGCCAGAGCATGGCTAAATCAGTTGGCACCCAGCAGCATCTACACTTGGGAGGACCTCTCCCGAGTGTTTTTCACAACCTTTGAGGGAACATGCAAGCGACCTGCAGGCCTTACAGAATTGCGGTCTTGCGTGCAGAAACCGAATGAAACTCTGAGGGATTACATCCAGAGGTGGATCACATTGTATCACACAGTTGAGAATGTACCAGATCATCAAGCAGTTTGTGCCTTTAAGGAAGGCGTTAAGTACAGAGAATTGAATCTGAAGTTCGGTCGAACTGGAGAGATGTCTCTGAATCGGATGATGGAGATTGCCACCAAATAAGCTAATGGTGAAGACGAAGATCGACTCCGGAGTGGCAAGCACAAGGCAGTCGCCCAAGAAGCCGGAGGAAACTCCAGTCGGAAACAGAAGCGGAAGGCCGAGCCAGCCGCCCCTGGGGAGGCCCTGGCCGTAACCCAGGGAAAATTCAAAGGAAAACCCAAGGGGCCCTGGAAGCCCAAGAAAGTCAAGGATCAAGATGGGAATGATGTTTTGGATCTACACCAAGAAAGATGAAGAGAGTAATTTTATTTACCCAAAGCATACCACTCGACAGTGCCGGCTCCTGATCCAGCAGTTTCAGGGCAAGCAGTCCAAAGATAAGGAAAAAGAGTCGGACAGAGTTGAGGACAAGGAAGACAGTGACGATGGATACCCCCAAGTCAATTCCACCCTGATGATTTTTGTTGATGTCGAAAGCAAAAGTCGACTGAAAGTCATTAACCGTGAGGTGAATATGGTTGCTCCGGCAACACCCAGTTATCTGAAGTGGTCTCAGACTGCCATCACATTCGAAAAGTCTGATCACCCTACGCACATTGCCACCCCTGGGAGGCAAGCTTTGGTGGTCGATCCAATTGTCGAAGGCACTCGACTGACCAAAGTCCTGATGGATGGTGGCAGTGGCCTGAACATACTATACGCAGAAACATTGAAAGGGATGGGCATTCCGATGTCCAGGCTCAGTACCAGCAACATGAGCTTCCACGGAGTCATTCCCGGGAAGAAAGCCAAATCACTCGGCCAGATTGCTCTTAATGTGGTTTTCGGTGATTCAAAAAATTACCGCAAGGAAAAGTTGGCATTCGAGGTTGTGGACTTCCAAAGTGCTTATCATGCCATTTTGTGCAGGCCAGCTTATTCACGTTTCATGGCTCGACCGTGCTACGTGTACCTCAAACTGAAGATGCCTGGTCCCAAAGGTGTGATCACTGTTACAGGCAATCGGAAGAAAGCTGAAGAGTGTTTTCAGAAAGGCTCAAAGATCGCTGATGCTCAGATGGCAGTGGTCGAGCTGCAAGAGTACCAGAAGACTGCTGATCCGAGTGAATTGCTACGAGCCAAGAAGCCTGCTTCATAATCTACTTTTCAGTCGTCCGGTGAAACAAAGCCAGTCCACATTCACCCGACCGACCCCGATGCTGCCCCGACTCACATCTCAACGATGCTCGACTCCAAATAGGAAGAAACGCTCATCCAGTTCCTCCGTGAGAACTGGGACATCTTCGCATGGAAGCCCTCTGACATGCCTGGAGTTTCCAGGGAGCTGGCTGAGCACCGTCTACGAGTCGACCCAAAATTCAAGCCTGTGAAGAACATCTTCGACGGTCCGCCGTCCATAAGAGGGAAGCTATTGGCGAGGAGGTGGCTCGGCTCTTAGCGGCGGAGTTCATCCGAGAGATTTACCACTTCGAGTGGCTCGCCAATGTTGTCATGGTCCCCAAAAAGGACAAGTCACTTCGCATGTGCATTGATTTTAAACATATCAACCGGGCCTGCCTGAAAGACCATTTTCCTCTCCCTCGCATCGACCAAATAGTCGACTCGACCGCGGGGTGCGAGCGATTGTCTTTTCTGGACGCCTATTCCGGGTACCATCAGATCCGCCTGTATGGACCCGACGAGATCAAAACAGCTTTCATCACTCCATTTGGATGCTTCTGTTATGTCACCATGCCATTCGGCCTCAAGAATGCCGGAGCCACGTTCATGAGGATGATCCAGAAGTGTTTACTCACCCAAATCAGTCTGAATGCAGAGGCATACATGGATGATATTGTGGTTAAGTCACGAAAAGGTTCCGACCTGCGGACTGACCTTGCTGAAACCTTTGCAAACCTCAGGAGGTATGATATCAAGCTCAACCCATCAAAGTGCACATTCAGAGTTCCAGGTGGAAAGTTACTCGGTTTTCTCGTTTCCGAACGGGGAATCGACGCCAATCCTGAAAAAGTCGGTGCCATACTCCGGATGAAGCGCCCTGTGCGTGTGCACGATGTCCAGAAGCTTACAGGTTGTTTGGCCGCTCTAAGTCGATTCATTTCTCGGCTCGGTGAAAAGGCATTGCCCCTTTACCGACTGATGAAGAAGCATGACAAGTTCGAGTGGACTCCAGAAGCTGATGCAGCATTTGCAGAGCTCAAAGCTCTGCTCTCCACCCAGCCGGTGCTTGCTGCCCCAATCAGTAAAGAGCCTCTGCTGCTTTACATTGCGGCCACGGGACAAGTTGTCAGTATAGTACTTACGGTCGAGCGGGAAGAAGAAGGAAAGGCCTTCAGAGTTCAGCGCCCAGTATATTATGTGTCTGAAGTTTTGACCCCTTCAAAACAAAGATATCCTCATTACCAGAAGCTTGTATATGGGATTTATATGACCACGAAGAAGGTTGCACATTACTTCTCTGACCACTCCATTACAGTCGTCAGCGACGCCCCACTGTCAGATATTCTGCACAACAGAGATGCAACTGGTCGAGTGGCTAAGTGGGCGATTGAACTCCTTCCCTTAGATATCAAGTTTGAAGCAAAGAAGGCTATCAAGTCCCAAGCAATCCCAGATTTCGTCGCCGAGTGGATTGAACAGCAACTTCCGACTCAAGTTCACTCGAAGCACTGGACCATGTTCTTCGATGGAT